CGCTGCCTCCATCTGAGCAGCGACAACAAAACCTGTGACATTTTATGAGCTACCAAGCATTTTCACTTACAATGTCTTATTTGGTTCTCAAAGCTTGTTTGAGAAACAGTGAGGGTTATTGGACCCATCAGAAAGATATACAAACTGAGTGCTTAAGCCTGGGGCCTCGGGCTCCCTTCCAGTGGCTGCTTTTGCTGTTCTATGTTGCTTCTCCCCACTGACTTTGTTCCTCGCTTTCTGGAAAATAAAATGGTTTTCTATTTGCAAAATGTCCAGGAAAAGTTTTTAGCATACACCCACTTCCTGCCCTCCCTGGTATTTGTGAAACTTGAAGGCATTTTAGAGAACATCTGGATGACTCTCTAGGCATTTTTGATGGTTCTTCTCATTTCCTTAACTTGATATCCAAAGAAACCATCATCATCTCTTGCTTACTATACTTCAAAATGAACTTTAAGTCTAACCAGTCCTCATCTTCTTCATGGCTACCTCCCTAGCCGCAAACATCATCTTATCTCACCTGAACCAGGTCTAGAGCAGAGGATTCCCGGTAAAAACCACAAAAACACCTCTCTGTTCCCAACCTTCAGAACTTGGGAGTTGAGATGGGCCCTGAGGGTTGGGAGCAAAGGGCTTGTATTGGGAAAATTCAAAGTGCCTTTATGCAAACCCACACAGTTGGCCATGGGACATTTCAAAGAAAATCGGTGTCCCTTTTGCCCTGGCTCCTCTTCTCTCTTAACCACTTCTTATGCTCTTGGGTTACCTCCTTACTTAAACTCTTGCCCTCCTACAACTAATTCTCCACTAAGCAGAAGGCATTATTTTTAAAAAAATCAAATCAGGTCAGTTTTCATGCTCAAAATGGTTTTCCTGCCACAGCCTTCAAGGCTTTCTGTCATCTGGCCCTTGCCTGCCTTGCTGACCTCATCTCCTAAGCCTCTATGCTTTACCACTCTGTTCAAGTCCTTGCCTTGTTGCTGATGTTTGCATGTACCAAGCGTACTTCTGCCTCAGACCTTTGCACGGATGGTCCTTCCACTTGAGTTGGGGATATCTTCATTCAGATAATAGTATGGCAATTTCCCTTGCCTCAAAGAGCTCTGTTTAAAGAGCATCTCCTCAGAAGCATCTTCCCCTTACAACTATGCTCTACTTCGTACTTGGCTTTATCCCTAATACTTTTGAATATATGTTGATTAATATGTTTATTCTTTGTCTTTGTCACTAAGATTATGTCTATCTAGTTCACTGCTACATCAGCAGCATCTCTCTAGCAAAGCTTCTGAGGAATTATCTGTGGAAAGAGGTTGAGTGAAGCAGTTTTACGGATGGAGAAACTGAGGTCCACAGTGAGAAGGGAAGGTCAGCAGAAGCAAGACTCCACAACACATCTTCTACTAGGCCTGGGAAACGTCCTCTGCACATAACCTCCTTTCCAATGTTAGTAAAAACCAGGTTCTCTTCCAATATAAAATTCTCACTTTGCGAAAGTAATAACATCTTAGCATAACAGTATATTCGAGTTTGCCTTATTTCCTCAGACTTAAACTCATTAATTATGAGGACTGGAGAGAACCACAAAGATGGCCTGCCATGTTTTATTTTGCAAATAAAGAACCAAAGCCCAGAGAGGATGTCCAACAGTTGGTTGTGGCAGAACCAGACTAGAACTCATGTCTCTCAACTCCTAGTACAGACACTTTCTCCTTCCTTGCATTGCTTAACATTGAATGTCTATGCTTATTCACAGATTCTGTTGCTTTTTATTAAAATACGTTTCTACTCCCTGTGTTGGCAGGTAGTCACTCCAAAATGTACATTTCACAAGGAAGGTGGGACATCATATCCTGTCCAGAAAAGCTGCACATGAAAGAGGCCTGGGTGCCTTCTAGAGGTGCACGCATCCTAGCTGCAGACTGCTCAGCCAGGACTTCCTGGCATCTCTGAGTCAGGGGAGCATGAAGCATTCTCAAGTGGAGTAGCATTCTCCCTGTGGCCATGCCACTTCCTGCCTGTGTACCCCCGTGTAAGGCACTTAAGGTCTCAGGACCTTAGTTTCCTTCTCTGGGAGGTAGAAATAGCATGCACTGAAGTGGTGGATGAGAAAGTGCCTTTGTGAGCCACAGAGGATTTGTTAAGGATTTCTAGTGAACTTGGTTGGTCTGGGAAATTGGGTCCCCAATACTACTACAAACCACCTCTCCCGACTCCGGCTTTGAGACCTGGATGGGATGCCTTGGGGGGCTGACAGCAGAAGGCTCAGGTTGGGAAAGTTTGAAGTGCTTTATTCTAAGCCAACCTTTACGCTATAACTAGCCATGGAGGGCCTAAGGGAGAGTTTGTGTCTCTTTTTGTCATGGCTTCTCTGATAAGTGGTTCTTAGACTCATAACTCCAGGAATTATAAAACAACAAAAGCAAAATCCATATGACATCTCATTTACAGCCTCAGCTCTTCAGGAGGGTATGAGGGAAGCAGCTGTTTACTATTCATAAGTAGGCACTTAAACAGATACAGATCATGAGGTTTTCTGTTTGTTTTTGATGAGAAGTAGCTGAGAAGGAGGGAAGATAAAAGAGACGAGGAAAGACAAGAGAGGGAGAGATGTCTGGAGGCAGAGACTGGGATAGGCACTGGCTAAGCAGGGTGAGAAGGCGGGGACAGAGCAGTGCTGAAGCAGACCGAAGTCAGAAAATGCTTGAGAAGAGCAAGAAAAACAAAGGAATGAGTCAAGAGAGGAGAAAAACAAAGAAAAAAAAGAGGAGAAACAAAACAAGAGGAGAAAAACAAAGAAAAACAAAGGAATGAGTCAAGAGAGGAGTCAAAAGAGGAGACAAGGGAAAGACTGAATGAGAAAAATTCTGAAAGATAAATTTGCAGAAAGTTTAAGAAGGAGGAAGAAGGAGGAGGAAGAATATGGGGAGAGGACAGGGGTGTGGAAGGAGGGGAGCAAGCGTCTGGGAGGAGAAAGAAGAGAGCCAGAGCACAGGGGAAGCTGCGGAGCTGCGGTTTGTTCTTTGGCTGGCTCCTGCTTTAGAAAAATCCTCCTTTCCTACTCAGTGGGACTGCCAAAGACCACATCCTGAGCACAGGAGATATGAGATTTGGAGGTACCTAGGGACAGTCACACTGATAGAACTAAACTCTGAGTCCTTAGTCAGGGGCCAGAGAACATTGCAGGATTTATAGAGAATATAGCATGTGTTTCCTAGGGCTGGGTTCCACAGCTCCAGATTCTTTGCTCTCTTAGACTCTTCTGACACATATAAATGACTTTTTAATGCCCGACTTTGTGTTTAGGCTTACCTGGACTTGTCAAGACCTGGAAGCTTTAACACTTCTTGCCATGCAATTTCCTCTTTGCCTTGGATTACAGGCAAAAAAGAAATAGTGACAATTATTCAAGCCATTCAGGATACCTCCCAAATCCTTCTACCTCTTAACACTGGTCTGAGTCTCAGTACTGAGAATATTTTAATACATAATAGGAGCTTCACCTGGTTTCTGGAGATGCAGCACACACATACACACACACACACACACACACACACACACACACACACACACATATATATTAGTTAATACTTGCTTTTTTGAAGCTCATAAGATATTGGCTCCTAAAGATCCTGCAGGGATCATCTGGTCCATGCTAGGAAATTAGCTGGTCCTTCCTTGGTGAGGAACTATTTAGATAAAAGCAGTCAGAACTCTGACCTGAACAGCAAACATTTAACCAGACTTCAAACAGAATTCAAGGACAGGATTTCTTAAACTATCTTTTTGTCTGCAATATCAGGCAGAGCTGAATGTAACTAAGAATCTTTTGATTCTTTCCCAATAAATAGACACACTATAGTGGTCACATATGTTCTGGGAGTTCCTAGACTTTATATGTCTAAACTGGGGCTTCCTGACATAAAACCATTCCTACTGGCCAGGAATATGTTAGAAAACATGGCTTTGGCATGTGGAGGTCTGGTTATTGCTCAAAGTGTGCAGCATGTGAATGCAAACAATTTTCCAACCATTACTCGGCATTACTGATTCAAATTCTGAGGTTTATTGAATAATTTCTTAGATTGCCTTCCAGCTTTAAATTTCTCAGCACCAAAATGAAGTCAATTTCAATCTCTCTCTCTCTCTCCATGTATATATATATATATATATATGTGTGTGTGTGTGTGTGTGTGTGTATGTGTGTGTATATATATGTGTGTGTATGTGTGTATACATATATATGTATACACACATACACACACATATATATACACACATAGACATACATATATACACACACATACATATATACATACACTCACACATGCATATATATGGTCACAATAGACAGGCAGGTATATCAGAAGGCTCAGTTGCTGAGAAAGAGGGATGGAGGATGAGCCAGAGGTATCTTCTCCCCCATTATAGAGAAAAGGGAAGTTCTTTTTGAGCCCCATTACATCTTTAGGACTTTTTACGAGATAATGGAGGGAATAAAGAGGGCTCAGTCCTTCTACTGTCCGTATTTCATTCTCAAATCTGTTCTTAGAGGAATGATTCTGGTCTCCACCTGCCAGACACGTGGCCTTTTGCATTTGTCAGGCCTTCCTAAAACGTTTGAGTATGATGACAGATGGAGCTGTCTGGGTATGTTTATGTGCACTTAAGTGTGATAGTGTATTTACTCTTTAAGGGCTGAGTGTTTGAGCCTCTGTTTGTGTGTAATTGGGTGTGCATGTGTGGGAGTGAAATTATGGAATGTGTATGCTCACAGCACTGAGTGAAAATAAAAGATTGTAAAATCGTGGGGCTTGTGGAATTGTGTGTGCCTGTGCGTGTGCAGTTTTGTTTTTTTTTTTTTTAAGTAAGCCACTTTAGATCTTGTCGGCTCCCCCATCTTCTGTGATTGATTTTGCGAGGCTAATGGTGCGTAAAAGGACTGGTGAGATCTGGGGGCGCCTCCTAGCCTGACGTCAGAGAGAGAGTTTAAAAAAGAGGGAGACGGTTGAGAGCACACAAGCCGCTTTAGGAGTCGCGAGGCTCGGAGCCTTCGCTGCTGCTTCCTGATCCGCGCCTAGAGTTTGACCAGCCACTCTCCAGCTCGGCTTTCCCAGTGCCGCCGAGATGCTGTCCTGCCGCCTCCAATGCGCGCTGGCTGCGCTCTCCATCGTCCTGGCCCTGGGCGGTGTCGCCAGCGCGCCCTCGGACCCCAGACTCCGTCAGTTTCTGCAGAAGTCCCTGGCTGCCGCCGCAGGGAAGCAGGTAAGGAGACTCCCTAGACGTCTCCGGGATTCTCCAGCCCTCCCTTACCCTTGCTTCTGCCACGCTGGTTTGGACGAAGGGATGCTCAGTGCTTCTAAAGAGTTTCGGTGCTTTTCTGGGTCCCTCAGTTCCCAAAGCTCTTGAGAAAACTTTCAAAGGCTAGAATCCCCTTCTAACTCTTTTTTCCCCCTGATAAGCGCTGTCGGTCACAGTTCAGGTGAGTTCTTGCTTGGCACTCAAGAAAATTCCAAGACCTGGGTACTCCTCTGGGCACGAAGGGGTGATGGCGTCTAGCCCGGGTGCTGACCCTGGGAAGCGCTGACCCAGGTGCTGAATCGCAGACCTCTGAAGCTGCCGCCTCTTCGTGTACCTCACTTCACAACATCGGTACTAGGGCAAAGGGACACTCTAAAGACGGAATGCAGTATGTTTGAGATTGTGAGAGGTCTCGTTCCCCTACAGTTTACTCGGTAAAAACGGTAAAACAATTCTACTTTGTAGCTCGTGACATGGAAATTGAGTTAAACTGTTGCCACACACTTAATGTGTGGTGTGCGTGTCTGTGTGTGCGCGCTTGTGTGTGTGAGTTAAGCCTGGAGGGACAGAAAGGTTGCAGAAATATTTGAGCTCTTAAAGCTTTTTTATGTAACTTGGTAATTACAGCAACTACCCTTATTTTTATATCCTTGATTGATTTTAAATGTGACAGGAATGCACAGCTGTGAAAATTGGATTTTGTGTGTAACCAAATCTGTTCTTTAATTTAGGCTTTTCTTCTCCATTTTCTTTCCTCTTTCTCTTTCTCTCTTTTTCTCTTCCTTCTTCCCTATACAGGAACTGGCCAAGTACTTCTTGGCAGAGCTGCTGTCTGAACCCAACCAGACGGAGAATGATGCCCTGGAACCTGAAGATCTGTCCCAGGCTGCTGAGCAGGATGAAATGAGGCTTGAGCTGCAGAGATCTGCTAACTCAAACCCGGCTATGGCACCCCGAGAACGCAAAGCCGGCTGCAAGAATTTCTTCTGGAAGACTTTCACATCCTGTTAGCTTTCTAAATTATTATTGTCCATTCCAGACCTCAGATCCCTCACCCCCAAATCCCATCTCTCTTCCCTAATCCTCCAAATCCTCAGCAAGACCCTTGCATTAGAAATTGAAAGCTGTAAATATCAAATAAAATTATGGTGAAATTATGAAAAATGTGAATTTGATTTATTATTGAGTAAATCTTTCTGTTCAATAGTACGTAATAACCTTGAGTGGTGGTTTCAGTAAAGTTATTTGAGATATGCACTCCAACGTTCACAAACATCTATTTAAAATTCTTGGTGGCAATAAAGTTTACATAAATGGTAACTATTATATTTTGGGTCATTTCGAACTGAAATAATTTCACATAACTCTATACATTCAAACTTTAATTCAATTATAATTACTGGGAGGGACTGACACAAACATTAATTACATATTAAATAAACTTAAATTATATGTTGGACTATTGACATAAGTTTGTATGAATAGTTAGACTAAAAATACAACTATCTATCAGGTTGATATGTAAAATATATAACATATGAAAAGATGAAAGAAAAAAATGACTTAGTGGTTGGGGAAAAATGTGGCTTAAATAGCTAAAATAAGGTTCTGAATTTATTTATAGTTTGTAAACATTTACTTGGAGAAATACCATAGCTTTTGTATCTTCTTTGACAATCCTCTCTAACTGAACAGTGCTAAATGACTATCTCTGTTTTAAAAGCAAGTTTTTAAGATATTTTTTCTCAGGGAGAAATATCACTTGTTGAATAAGATTCCTTCTGGAAGTACTATAGGTTGCAAGAAATACATGTTGGCTTACCTCACTGAATGCTATAGTGCAGATTTTGGAGCTCAAAATAATAATTATAAAATAGCTGAAGGAGCAATCTCAAGTCTTCTCTTAATTTTATCAGTATAGGAGTCAAATAAAAACAAAAAATAGTCTTAAATACTCAGTAAAGAATAGCTACTATTAGTAGTCCTATAACAACATACTAAATGGGACCACCCAAGACAGAAATGAAAACATTGCTAATTTAATTTACAGAGACCTAAAGAGATAACCTTTGGGGGATGTATATTTTAGCTATCAACTGCATTTCTGCATAATTACTCAGATAAAAACCAAATATAAATGTATAGGCTCAGTATAAATCTTCATAGTATAAACTAACTGATAGTACACAGAAATATTTAAGAGGAGCTTAATATTTTATAGAAAATATTTATATTAGATAATACACATTTGAATGTGGCTGGCTTAGAGGAAATTAATTTCTGAACAGCTGATCAAACAAAAGAAAAACATTCAAGCCACTTTACTAATCTCTGTGAAAACAGAACATCCTCTGAAGTTCTGATACAGGTTTTATTTACAAGACATTTAGGTGGGGAGATTAATGCATGTCCACTTATGGGATCTGTCTATGCTAAATGCCCTATGTATATCTTATTACCAGAAACCTCAGTGGAGTAATAGCCTCATATTATTAAAAGTTAAGCACAGGTAAGAACACAACTTAATGATATTCTGGGCCGTGTAGGAGTGTCAGGGGATTTTGAGTTTTTAGTACTATCTTTAGTTGTCAGTTCTCAATAGTAGTATGAAAATAATTGGCAAGAATTATGTAGTCATATGCTCACATATGTTCATATTTTTAATTTAAAGCTTAAATTGAGTAAAACACCTGAACATGATTAACTCTCTTTCCATCTCAGTTTGCTTACCACTGTAAACAGAGGGTTGTGTTAGAAATGGCACTCACAGCTGGGCTCTGTGGCTCATGCCTGTAATCCCAGCACTTTGGGAGGCCGAGGTGGGAAGATTGCCTGAGCTCAGGAGTTCACGACCAGCCTGGACAACATGGTGAAACCGCCCCCACCCCCCGTCTCTACTAAAATACAAAATATTAGTCAGGTGTGACGGTGTGTGCCTGCAGTCCCAGCTACTCGGAAGGCTGCGGCAGGAGAATTGCTTGAACCTGGGAGGCGGAGGTTACAGTGAGCCGAGATTGTGCCACACTCACACCCTTTTTAGATGTGACTTCCGACTGTCATTTTGTGCTTTGACATTGACAAGGGTGCTCAAGGAGTGCTGATCTTGGGCCATTTTAAGTAGTAGACAGAGTATAGCTTTGTTCTGCTTTGTCTTATTTTACATATACAGAGGGTCCTACTTTTTACTTCCTATTTAGTTCATTTTAAATTTGATTCACTGAAAGAGCCTAGCATTCTAGCCTGTTTATTGTCTCGCCACAGTGAACCATCTGTATATTTTCCTTCTTCCCTGCCACAACTACGTGCTTCCGCCATCCTGAGAAGCCTGGCATTTATTTTAATGGAAGAAATTGGGCTAGGCTCTCTTTACTTCTGGGCCTTGGTTTCCTCCGCTGAAAATAGGCATACAGCAGAAGCAATCCCTTTCATTTATGAGGATTCATGAGACCATGTATTTAAAGTTCTTAATACATGCTGAACAGTTAGTACATGTTAGATGTTACAACTGATGCCAATTTTTTTCTCACATGTTGCCTTTGCTATTTCCTGCTATTTCTACAAGACAAACCTAATCCAGCCTTTGAGACCCTTATTACATGTTTCTGTCTCCATACAATTCCTGCTTTATATCCTCAAGTGGAGTATGTGCCTTCTCTGAGTATTTAATCTGTCTCTTTAACGGTGCTTACTTATCCCTTTGAACCATTCATGATAGTTGTGTGAATCTGTGTAGGAGAGTGAGTGTTTGTGTGTGAACCCCCTTTGAATACAGTGTCTTATGCATAGTAGTCTCTCAGTGCTCACTGAAAAAGTGAATGAATGATCTATGAATGTATCACAGTGTCTAGTGATATAAATTTCTGTTTACTAGATGGCAGCATTCTTGTTTTCATTTGCATAGAAAAACAACGTTAGTGGCCATTCTATGTGATGCTAATGTGACAACAGAAATGGCACATGATTCTGATTTTAATAACCACTGAAGCATGTGGTTGGCAGACTCCGTCATTTTGGAAGCTTCAACCAGTTCAGTTTTCCTTAACCAAGGTGCAAAGGCCTCAGTAGGGCTGCTCAACTGTCCACCATACTATTGGGATCACAGTTACAGAAAATCAAGACTCACTAGCCCTTTTTTCACATCTGTTTATTTCAAGATCATGCAGATCTATGTTTGACCATAATACATGGCCAATTTTCTTGGCCTTGACTGAAACTATTCTCAATGCATTGACAATTCTGTTTTATGGGGACACAAAGTATACCTTTAACTCTAAATATCCAATATGAAAGGAAGCTCAGAAATTATATCATCCTCACCACTTACGTTACTGCACGATGACTTGGAGAGATTAAGGTATCTGTCTAAGATAACACAGTAAGTTGATGCAGAGTTTGAACAAAGCTAGGCTCTCCCTCCCCTATCTTAGGGTTATTTTGATTATTCTATGACACTTCCCCTCAAGGAATCTACCATTCTAAATAATTGCTACGTTTTATTAGTCTGATAGCAATGCTAATTTTGTTCCTGGAGCTTCCTTATCTTCCACTAAACAATTTGTTTTCTTCTGAAAGGGAAGAAGACAATTGGTAGAAAATAACTTGTACATTAGGAAGAAATGGTAAAGGCACTGAATAGGAAGAAAAGAAATTCAAGGAACACAGTCTTTCACTAGATTAGCTTCTGTCCTGGAGCGGAAAAAAAGGGGCTGTGCCAGAACATAGATATTTTTAAAATAAAGAGATTGCAGTGTGCCTTGAAAGGTAGTCTTCAAATAAGTCACAGTTCACAACCACAAAACTAAGAAGGAAACACTTCAATGACCACCTCTGGATCTTTAGTAAATAAGAATGAATGCTTTAATTTCTGTGGTTATGCTTTTTATTACCTAAAATGTGCCTCGGTGTCAAAGATGTGCTGAAAACTGGGAAACAAAGTTTATATTTCAAGGACCCTGCTTTCAGGAAGTTGAGTCTAATAGGTAACATACATTCATAAAAATAACCGAATGCTGTAATGGAGGTTTGTACAGAGTGCTAGGAGAGAGCTGTCAATGACTCCTTTCTCTCTCTCTCTCTCTCTCTCTCTCTCTCTCTCTCTCTCTCTTTCTCTTTCTAAACTATTCTTCTTAGTTTTCAATTGTGTTTTAGAAGTCTAAGTGGTTTTATTCTGGATGAAATGAATAAGTTATAGGTATAATAATGTTGTATACACTTTTTTAACATAATCTACTTTAGCTTGATATGTGTTAATATTTCTCTTTTGCCTTTGAAGAAGCTGAGAATAAAAGAGATTAAGTAACTTGCCAAAGGTGTCCCCAGCTGCTTAAAGGTAGAGATGAAACCAGGTCATCTGATTTCCAATCCAGTGCTCTTCCTACACTATCTTAGGGAGAAGAGGAGAGTGAAAGGAAAATTGTAACTTGCTGGACGAATTAAGAATAGATCAGCTCTAGGCCATCTAACTTAGCTCTTCAATTTATAATACAAATGGGTATTACTACTCTATTATTGTTAGAGGAGAAAGCAATTTAGGCTCTGGGATTGGGATTTAGTTTTGTGACTTTATTAGGGGCATTGTTTCCAAGGAATTGTTTGTAATCTTTCTCTCATATATTCAATATCGTAGCTTTAACTTTACTAAATGAATGAATGAATAAACAAATAAAAAATAAAATCAATGACCTCAGGTTTTAAGCACTCCTTTTGTCATTTAATTTCTCATACATAGCTTTTAGTACAACTCAGTATGTGGGCATGTTTAGCTTGAAGCAACCACAAATTGACTGGCCACAGTCTTTGCTGCAGAGGCCATTGTATCTGCCTATGTCTTGACTGGGTAGTAGGCATGTCTTTCACCCTCTGACCTTGTAGGTGTACCTGTAAAAAGTTGCCTGAGCTGAAGTCTGGGGACTTGAGTATTTCTTTTTTGAAATTTATAAATGAGGTCAACTTTTACATACGTGAGCATTTATGCCATTGCTGTTGACATAGCTCCCAGGGTCTCATATGAATATTCTAGGTCACAAAAGTAGTAAAGGGTCTCATACAAATATTCTAGGTCAGAGAAATTGTCATTTTATTTCTATTAGCTTCACATGTCTTCAGAATATGGTACATTAGGATAATGAAGCTGTTATCTAGATATTAAATAGTGCTATTAATAT